AGTGCGGAGACGCGAGGCTGTCCCTCCGGAGACCGAGACTTGTGCGACTTCGCCCGGGCAAGATTTGTCGACAAGTCGGGTCGTCAGGTCAGTACAACCGGGTGTCACTGAGGCGCTGCCTGCGTCGTCGAATTATCAAATTGTCTTCGCGTACCGCACTCCGCTTTTTTTTTTTTTTTCCGATCCATTACATGCCGACGCTCGAGTCTTCTGCGTACGTAGAGCCTCCGTCGTCTCCGAGAATAATATGAGCGTATCCCGGTCTCGGTAGTCACAGTCCATTCTAGAAGCTCGTGTGTCGGCCATAGAGTAATATTATAATATTGTTAACGTCTTCGTGGAGATAGACGCACATGTTACTACCCGTCGTATTTATGAGTACGCCAAGATTAATGAGTGCGGCGTCTAATCGAGGGGCCCAGGCGTCGGGGGGGGTATGGAGTTTTTATAAACATCAATGCGTGCTAGATGCACTTAGTCGTCGTTTTGACTGATAAAAGCCTAAAGTTTTGCCGCTTAAAGCGCTTCTCCACTGGTTCAAACCGTAGTGACTTGATCTGTCTCGTGTTGACTATTGTATTGTAGACCTCTACATTTGTTGTATTGTATGTGAAAAGCCCCCTACCGAAACCCTACACTCCTCCAGCTCCCTGTGCCGAATCTTGCCCGGGCACAGCGGACCGTCCTCGTCCTCTCACACACGTGTTCTCAGACAGAACTAGATACTTAAAGACAGTCACGTGAGTGACGAGCCGGGCGGCGGGTGGTTCGAACAAAATATCTTCCTTTAAGGAAGTGAAGTACTTTCACAAAATTGGTGTGCTGTCGGAGATGTGTGCTTACTGCTCCACGAATAAAAGGGGTATTCTTGTTCAGCGGACGTTAATAGCGGCGAATAATGGTGCCGGTCGTAGAGTTGTTTCATTGCTCGTACTGAGGGTTATAATTAGACCTTTACGAAAATTACCTAAATCTTTTACAAATAACTAAATTTTTTATCAACATACATAACTAATTTTTTATCAAACATACATAAACTAAATTTAACTTGTACCGTACCCAGCCGATTATCTTTTTATCAGCGCAAACAATAGTCAGAACAAATTTTGTCAGACTTACTTTTGCCAGTCGAGAGTCGACACATAAATGTGGTTTGATTACCGGGTAGTTTGGTTGTCGGAGGAGAGCGGGGGCAGGGGGGGAACTACGAAGGAGAGGTCGTCGATTTAATTGCCATCCGAATGAGACTCACTGTTCCGAATGTCAATTCTGTGTTGTGACAGTAACCGTTCACTGGGAGTCAATCAACTGGAAAAATACAAGTTGACGATTTAATGAATGACTATTTTTTCTCCCGAAGCTGACATCGGATGATAATCGGTAATTGTCGCGATGGATCTCTTGGCGGTCTACAAAACATATCCGGCGACGACTTGGGCCAGTTAGGCGCGATAATCTTATGTTAAAAATTGGTGATCCCACCCGATTGTATTGTGTGAAAGTCCTTTTCAGTGCCTGACCCTCTGAAATTACTAAATAACTTTTTTGCAATGTAACGTCGTGGTGTGTTGTCGTGTAGTGGGTTTAACTGGCTACCCCAAGATCACAATTTATTTGAGTGATTTAATTACTTTGGTCAAGTTATACCGTAAAAGAATAAGAATAGTAAGAAATACTCACCCCCCGTCTTTATCAGAATTTTAGTCTAGACAAAAAATTTACTTTAGACTGCCGTCCCGTCAAATCGACGACTAGTGATACTCTTTACGACGGCCGTGGATTAGCCCGACCGGAAGTCCGGTCCGTCTCGTGACAAGCTGTTACCCCCCCTCAGATCCCCCGTCGAACCGAGGGGGGCTTTCTCCCTCCCTCCGAGGGGACTTCCCGACTGAAAACTCTATTTATGTCCCCTCCGGTTTGTTAGGCACGTATAAACACAGTCTCGTGTGTCCTAATCGTGTTACAACTCAAAGACATTTATTGTAAGAACTTTATCGTATTATCAAACAAGTAAATGTCAAAGACTTATAAACAAAAATTATAAACACTTATTACAGTACCCAACAACGGTAGACATCGCACCTCTGCCGCGAGCGTGAAGAATCGAATGCAACCTTTTTTGTTTTTTTTATTTTTTTTTTTTTCTTTTTTTTTTTTTTCATTATACCAATACCGCCACTATGGCCGCGTCATACAACTTTTACAAGTATAACTATAAGAAAAATTGAGGACCGACACATTATTTTTTTATCACCGTTTTGCGGTTTTGTCGCGTTCGCAGTGTACGAAAACTTAAGTGTTCGTTTCTTCCGCTTCCTCAGATTTTTACTCGTTGTACTTGCCTTTTCGTTGAAAATCAACCGGCGACATTCCCGGCAACTCCAGCTCGAACTCGTCGAGGTGTGGCTCCCTCTCCGGACGCTACGCCTCGGACTTTCTGCTCGAAGTGTTGCCCCGGTGTAGGCGCGGCCGTATCACTAGTGGGCAGACATAAATCATCTTCACAAAAATATCGTTACTAGGCGTAGGCGGCGACGAACGCGGTCAGTTGCCTCCGCACCACACTGTATAAATCATCCTCCCCACACGAAGACTTTTTATCCCGACGGGGCTTTTCGTTACCCATTAAGCTTTTGATCTGTCTAGAGGGAGATATGTTTAGTTTGACATGCTCGCCGCACACTTTCGTCGGATAACAAAATTTATTACCAGCCTTACACTGACACTCGGAAGACTTAATGCACCCTATCGTGTAAGATTTGATTTTTACAAGTTAAGTTATTTCTTTAGAATAGAATAGAATGTTATTATAGAAGTATAATTATTATTATTATTTAGTATCGTCATACACAGGCTTTCCCTCGTCCTCCTTCGTTTGTGTTTTTAGATGACGTATAATTTCGTTTTGCTAACATTTCCAATTCATACTCGGTATTGTTTCTATCTTCACATTACATTTGGCTAAATGTAATTTATTAATACTAATAAATTATATATTTGCTGATATATAGATAACTTAATGTTCTAATCTATATGAAATCAAACTAGAT